GGCCGTCCTTCTGTCCCACAAGCATGTTCAGGTTTTCTTAAAGCCTTTACACTTCCTCCTACCTAGAATATTCTTCCCAGATCTTCTTATGGCTGCCCCTTTTTCATTCAGTTCTCTGCTCAATTATGATCCTTCCCTAAGCACAGTAGATACAACAGCCGCCTGTTATCACATTATCTTATTGAGTTCATTGTGTGGCACTGTCTTGTTTGTATATTTGGTGTTCTGTTTTTCCCTCTCCTACCCACCACTCCCATTAGAGTATAAGCACCATGAGAGCAGGAAGCCTGAATATTGTTTTTCATTGTATATATTCAGTAAAACGTAACAATGCCTGGAATATTATTGGTGCTTAGTAAATATTAATTAAATGCATAGATGATTCCCATTTCTCGACATAACGTTATAAGATATGTATGTTTTTTTTATACACATGAAAAATGTTTCCTGCAATCAGTTAAGCTAATTAGGTGAGTCTCTGGGTTTTAGAATTCGTCTGGTATGAATGAATAGTGTACTTTCCACAATTCTCTTTTGATCAGTGGAGATATTTACATGATTCTGAATAAAGTTATCAGCTACTCATTATAAATACAGACTAGACATACTTATTTAATTACATGCAGTAAGTTTAGGAAAGCTTGTCCTCAAAAATAAGTGGGTTTTTAAAATAAATTAAGGAACTGTATTTAGTTATTATTTCTGTAGTTAAAATCATAGCCAAAAATGAACATAAACCTGTTATTTATTATTATTATTTTCTCATCTTTTTAAAACTCACTTAAAATTATGTAAAGAATTTATTGAAATTATTATAAAAATAGCACCTCACTGGAATTGATTTAGGAGATTGGCTAGAGATCCCTTTGTAAAATGACAAAGAAAGAAAAATAAAACCCAGTCGATTAAATATGAAATGTTTATTATTTATTTCTATACTATTATTGTTAAGATCAAACTTAATACTATACAGACAAATTTCCTTTGTATTTTATTTCCTAAGTATTAAATATAATTAGTTATGCTTTCTCTCTTAGCTTTATCTAAGGTCAATCAAAATGCATATCTTGATAGTTACCTGTTATTATATATTCTTATATGAAGCTACCTTTGCTTTTCTCATGAAAATTACAGCTGAAATAAAAACAATTCCTTAAAAAACCCATTCCGTGTGCTGTTATTTATTAGTTCACTTCTTAATTTCTAGTATAAATCTATAAATTCTGCACACACATACGTACAATAATTACTTATATAAAAATCAACTTTCAAAATTGAGATATAGACTTTCGTAATTACTTACAGTAAAACCTGAAGTAAGGGGAATTTAATGTATTCAGAATTAGAAGGAATGAGTAAGCGTGAATTACCATTCAGGTCTCTGTGGTGAAAGGTAAGTTTGATAGAGATAAGAATTTAGATGGGTATTTTGAATTTGTACCTCATTTGCACATGGGGAGGGCAAACGAAGAAGGAAGAGAGAGGATTTGTAGGAGGTCTCTGAAGTGTTGTTGGCAAAGATAAACTCAGAGGCTTTCAGCGGAAGTTATGGTATGAAAAGAATGAGTATCAGGTTTCTATTCAGAAGGTGGGAAAAGAGCATGGCTTAGGAACCAGACAAGGTGATCCCTGTACATA